TCGTCAATGAGGCATACAACCAATGTCGCGCCCTACTCACTGAGAAAAAGAAGGAAGTTGGCATTGTCGCGGAAGAGCTCCTGGCCAAGGAAGTCCTCAGCCGTGATGACATGATTAGACTTCTCGGTCCAAGACCCTATCCCGACTCTGGCGAGTTCGCCAAGTACTTTGGTGCCGCCCAGGGACAGACCATTGCTCCTCCCGAGCCTACGCCGCCAATTGAAGGTTCTGAGGGTGCTAAACCGCCCTCGTAGGCGACGAACTATAGAAACAGCGGGATATCCATGGTCAGGCGAGGAGGGTGTTACATGTTTCTTTATGCCAAGATTTGTATTTATGGAATGACTGAAGCATCTCCGCTGTCTTCATATCTTATTCTCCCCGTTGGCTTTCACTTGTATCATAAATATTAGGATTTTTGCGATGTCTCTGCATTTCCCTTCCTCTTCACTCATCTCGTTCGCGTTTCGTCTTCCGATTTTAGACTCATCTAGTGTACTCCTGTATATTATGTGACGATCTAGGCCTGACATGGTGGAGTACCAATTTGACACGATTAGAACGCTATACAACTGGGGTTTCTCATACTCCTTTGAACTCTGAATGTAGCAGCATTGTGTTCGCCTTGTAACATACGTGACCAAAACTTGATATAGTGGATCCAATACTCCAACCGGAAATAGACATCAAAATTTCACTCAAAACAGACAATATATATATTAAGAAATTTCAGTCATCCAGTACCCCAGAAATTAAAAGTAGAGAGATAGAAATCCATCATCGAAACCCCAACCCTCTCCCATCACTGACTTTTCTTGCCCTCCTGCGTCGCCTGATCACCAGCGCCTGCCGACTCAGTCTCAGACCGAGGGGCCTTCTTCTTGCTCCCATTGTACTTGGGCTTGACAGAAAAACGAGGAATGAAGCGTCCCACACGCGCCTGATACTCGCTGTATTCAGGGTACTTGCCTGCACTGATCGACTCGGTCAGCCGGGTGCTTGACTGGAAAATGAGCATGTAGCCCAAAACGCCCAGTCCAGTCCACTGAATGTAGCTGTCGGTGCGGTAGCAGTTCCACAGGTACAGTGTGAGCCAGATGGCTTGCTCGGCGAGGAAATTCGGGTGACGGGACAGTGACCAGAGACCGCTAACGACGAAGCCGCGCTCCAGGTCCTCTGGTGTATATTGGCCTTTGTATTGGTCGGGGATGCGAGCTGTCTTCTGGTACTCCTTCTTTGCGCTTTGGAAGTTCCATTGCTGCTGGTCGGCGAAGTATTCGATGATGAGGAAGAAGAATGCGAGGCGTGAGAATACGAGGTCCGGGAGGCCGAACGGTTCAAACCCAGGGAGGCGCGAGAGGAGAATGAAGTTGTAGGTAGGCGCCGTCACAAGGAGAAGCAGCATTGGCTGAATGAAGCTGATGAAGGTGACGTTGAGCAGGAAGAAGAGGAACCGGTTATTAATCTGGGACTTCACGATCTCCCAGCGGTAGTCCTCAGAACCAATCTGATAACCTCCCTTGCGCCAGTAGTTGAAAGTCAATCGGACCTAAGCGGAATTAGAGTCGGCAGATACAAAGTCGTCGCGCTATTATAACTTACACTCCAGAGCAAAGTGATAACTGCGATTGTATCCAGACTCTGATTCTTAATGCCCCACATGCGCGCCCAAGCGACAAAGTGCACATTATACGCAGCCGGCAGGATACTCCAAAACCGATCAACTTGCGAATAGTTGCGGTTGATTTCCGCGGACACGACGAAGAGCACCCACAAAACCAAAGTAAACCCGAGCGCCGAGATGAACGGGTTTGTCGAAAGATAAATATCCTTCAGAGCGTCCACATCCTTCGTTGCGGCGGCCACTTGCAGCTGCGCAGGAAGCGTTGTCAACTGCGACAGGAAGGGCAGCACGGTGCGGTTGAAAGAGGCACAGTCCACAACAGAGTGAACTTGAGGAAGTGGAATCGCCATTTCGAAGAACTTCAGAACAGGTGTCGCAGTTTGGAGCTATTGCACACCCGATTTTCTTGTCGATCAAGGAGAATCAAAACATCGAGGCAAAACAACGAGATGCCATCATGACAACGCGGACGAGCGTTCCCATTGGACGGCACGCTTACCGCTTTGGGCGAAGAAGATTGGGGGGCCATGACACGGCTGCCTCAGGCGTCCAGGCTCCCAGGCATACAGGCAGAAATCTACCATCTCCGTTTCTGGAAGTTGGTCGCGTCTTTTGCGCGTCTCGATTGTTCTTCTCTACTCGAGGAAGGAATAATGTCGGGCTCATGACCAGAGTGTCAACAAGGGCAAATCGAGCATGGCATAACCGAGACTTGTTGAATCGACAGGCCATTTGCTATGCCTGTCCCAAGGATTCTCTGCGTGGCAGAGAAACCTGCCATCGCTAAAGCTGTGGCTCAGCATCTTTCCGGTGGTTCCATGCAAACTGTGAGTGACCGTTGGCTTGAGACGGCACGGGTTATTGAAGTCACATATACTGAGATAGACATAGATATCTATACACGGTAATAAATATGTGAAGAATTATTTATTTGAGTTCAATTTCGGTGACCCCTGGGGCACCTGCTCAGTCACCATGACCAGCGTCCTGGGACATTTGATGGCCCTCGACTTTGAGAGTCAATACAAAAGCTGGCTCTCATGCCCACCGGGCGCACTCTTTGAAGCTCCTGTGCGCGAATATGTGGAAGAAGTATGCAATATCAACCTCTTGTTTTCGGTCGTCAAGGGCCTGGTCACGGGTATTTCTTGAACCACGCAGCAAGGCTAACTCTGTGTATAGGACAAGAAACCAATCGCAGAAAACATTATGGAGCAGGCCAGGATGTCGAAGGCTCTATTTATCTGGACTGACTGTGATCGAGAGGGAGAGCACATCGGTACCGAAGTCCGCAAAAAAGCCAAAGAGGGAAATCAGCGTATCCTGGTCAAAAGAGCGCGATTCAGCAACACAGAGAGGGCGTGAGTGCACATGGATGATATATAGCTCTTTTCCATCAGCAATGCTTACCTGATCTGATCACAGGCATGTTCTACGCGCTGCTCGGGCCCTCATAGATGTGGATGAGAACCAAGCAAATGCAGTTGCTGCCAGAATCGAGCTCGACCTTCGAATTGGTGCTGCATTCACCCGATTGCAGAGTCTTCAACTACAACGTATGTGTGCTGATCTGGCAAATAAACTCATCAGTTACGGTACGTCGTTGGCCTACCTTTGAGCTTGTCTGTTTCCAGTACCAATCTTAGCTGACTCAATCAACAGGATCATGTCAATTCCCCACCCTGGGCTTCGTTGTTGATCGATATCTACGAGTGAAGAATTTCAAGCCGGAAACTTTCTGGGGAATTAAGGTGATGCACGTCCAAGAAAGGAAAAAGGTCAACTTCCTGTGGCGGAGAGTCCATCTTTTCGACAGGGCGGCCGTGACCGTCATGCTGGAAAGGTGTCTGCTAGCAAAGACCGCTAAAGTCACGAAAGTCAACCAGAAACCTACCAGCAAATGGAGGCCACTACCCTTGACAACGGTGGACTTACAGATGATGGGTAGCAGGTACCTTCGCATGGACAGTTCGGCGGTCATGAAGGTATGCAGTGTGTACAAAATTCTTAAGCTCTCACCGTGAGGCTCACCAAGATTTAGGCCGCAGAATCTCTCTATACCAAAGGTCACATCAGCTATCCCCGTACTGAGACGGATCAATTTGACAAAGGGATTGATTTAAAGAAGTTAATTGAGAAGCAGTTCCCCGATAACAACTGGGGTGACTACGCCCGAGGGTAAGAGTTCTTTAAAGCGAACATTCTCTGACATTACTGACTCTCTCGACTGTGAAGTCTCATCAATAGCGGGTTCAAAACGCCTCGTTCTGGACGCCACAATGACCAGGCGCATCCACCTATCCACCCGGTATGCTGGGTCTCACCAAGTGCACTGAACTCTGACGAGAAGAAAGTCTACGAGTTCGTAGTCAGGCGATTTCTCGCTTGCTGCTCCGATGATGCAAAAGGTCAAAGCACGGAGATTGAGATCCAATACGGCGAGGAGATGTTTCACGCCAACGGACTGATCGTTCTGGAAAAGAACTATCTTGAAGTTTACGTGTACGACAAGTGGGAGAGTAGCCAACAACTGCCGAACTTTCGAGTGGGTGAAGTTTTCGTGCCGACTGAAGCGAACATCTTCGAGGGCAAGACAACGGCCCCCAACTACTTGACCGAACCTGAACTCATCGGGCTCATGGACGCGAACGGAATAGGGACGGACGCTACCATGGCCGAACACATTGCCAAAATCAAGGAGCGCGAGTATGTCGCCGTTCATTCGCGAGGAAGTGGTCGGAACGCTGTAAAGGAATTCATCCCCACCCGCCTAGGCATTGCCTTGGTGGAAGGCTATGACAACGTTGTAGCCAATCTACCGGATAAACCGTCTCTCAGCAAGCCCTTCCTGCGTAAGGAGATGGAGCTCCGTATGCGTGAGATCTGTGCAGGATCCAAATCGCGCCAGGAGGTTGTTCAGGAGAGCCTGGACATGTACCGCGAGGTCTTCATTCATACCCAGAGACGTATCGATATGCTGAAGGCTGCCTGTCGAAAATACCTGATCGAGCAGGCCACCGTGTGAATTTGCTGTTGAGGACGTCTGTTCGTTGATTTGGGCGTTATGGCTAGCAGTACACTGCCTTTTGACTTTACGATTATGATACCCTTGATCGATTAGACTTTGCTTTCACCAGAGCGAATCAACATGAAAGATCTTACATTTGCAACTATGTGAACGAATATGGCTTGTCCCAAACAACCGGATCTCGATCTCAGACAGCGGAAAACTAACAAAATAACCCACAAGGATTCTCCAAACTGAATCAGACGAAAGACCAATAATTCTGGTGGCACAAAGAGCAACAAACAAAACATAAAACTAAATCAAACAAGTCTACGGAGAGAGCATCAGCTCTGACCTATGCCCTTGAGTTCAAAAAGTTTCGCCAACGTCCCCTTTCGGGTTCTTTTCGGAGGGCAAGGAAACGCTCTTTGATCTGTGCGCGGTTGGAGACTCGTCGGCCCACCTGCTTTTGCTCAGTCCAGCAGAAGTGGGTTCATCCAGCTTTGAAGGAGCTTGGCCTGAAGCCGGACTAGCCCACCTGCTTTTGCTCATTTCAGAAGTAGTTGCTTCTAGCTTTGATGGAGCTTTGGCTGAAGCAGGACCAGCCAGCTGGCTCCCTTCAATTCCTGTGCTGGTAGGTGTGTTAGGCTGAGTCTTAGCCACGGCAGGATCTGCCCACTTGCTTTTGCCCATTTCGGCCGAAGCCGGTGCAGCCAGCTTTGGAACTTGGGCTGAAGCCGGGCTAGCCGACTGATCCGCTTCAGTTCCTGCACGAGTAGGTGCTTTAGTCTGAGCCTGGGTTGGAGTTGAGGTAGCCCACATGCTCTTGCCAATTTCAGCAGAGATAGACTCAGTGTTGGGCTTTGAAGGCGATTGAGCTGAAGCCGCGCCAGCTTCTTTGCTCTTCTCGCGCTTTGCAGAGGCGGTAGATGCCTCTGGCTTCGAACGGGGTGTTGTTGGGGTGTGCTTCCCAGATGATTTGCCCTTCGCAGACCCCTGTGTCTGATGAGACTGGGTTCCTTCTGATGTCTTCGGTTGCGCTTGGGTCGGAGTTGAGGGAGCCCACATACTCTTGCTCATTCCGGCGGAGGCAGACTCAGTGTTTGGCTTCGAAGGCGGCTGAGTTACAGTTGGCGTAGCCAGCCGGTCCCCTTCAACTCCTGCACGAGTGGATGGTTTGGGCTGAGCTTGGGTCGGAGTTGAGGGAGCCCACCTACTCTTGCTCAGTTCAGCAGAGGTAGGCTCAGGTTTGGGCTCTGAAGGCGACTGAGCCGAAGCCGGGCCAGGTCCTTGGCCCTTCTCGTGCCTTGCGGAGGTAGATGTCTCCGGCTTCAGACGGAGGGCTTCTAGGATGTGCTTCCCGTATAATTTGCCCTTCGCAGACCCCGGTGTCTGAGAAGACTGGGTTTCTTCTGATGCCTTCGGTTGCGCTAAAGTCTCTTCGAGCTGAGTTCCCAATGCAGCAGATTCGCGGCCCTTCTCAACCTCTTGATTATGTTCTGCTCGCGATTGCGCTGTGTCTGCTTTGTCCTCCTTTGCAGCTTCATCATCCCAGCCTGCTACGGACGATAGCTTTGGACCACTAATTGCTTTGGAAGCTGGTTTTGAAGTCCTGGGGCTGACCGGCTCAGACTGGGCACTCGCGCGGCGTTGATCGTCGGATGTCTGTACTTGTTCATTTATTTGAGCTTCGCCCTTTGGGGTTCCGGCTTCATCCTTTCTAGATTGGGCTTTCTCCTTTGGCGACTGGGCCTCGAATCCTGCGGCTTGAGCTGCGTTCTGTGAAGGCCCTTCATCGACAACGTCGGTCCCGGTCTTATGTGCGCCATGCTCTGCAGCAAGATCCTCATCGTTCGACTCAGGATTTTCGTTAGGACCCTCGTCCCTATCGCGTATAGTCACTAGATCAGCGGCGCTCAAGTCGAATTTGATGCCCAGAGCGGCCATGCATTTCTCTAGATGTCCCCAAATACTCATGTTCATGTTCCTTTGGTGCCACTTGTATTCGTCGAGCTTATGCATGGTTTCGGTTGATATATGCATCCGGGCATTCGTTTCCATGATATTCCTGGTTACTCTGCTGATCTTCTGCTTAATTCCGTCTTCAAGCTCCTTATTCCACTCGAGGGCACGATTGGCGGCCTCCCGCAGACTCTTGTGTTCCAGAGTGTGAGAGTCAAGTTCTTTTCTGAAGCATTGTACCTCCTTTGTTGAATCCTCGATTGCCCTTTCGATATCTTCCAATTGTTTGGCAAGTCCAGGGTCATTGTTCTTCGACTCGCTCGCAGCGTTCTTGACTTCATCCAAAGCTTGCATCAGCCCATGGAGTTGGATTTTCATTCCTTCAGTTTGTTGCTCCAGGTGTGCGGCTATTTCTTTCAAAGCTTCTTTCACTTGTGTTTCGGTGACGGTTGAGTCGAGTTTCGACTGGATTTCTGCATGCGAATTCTTCAGATTGGACACGTCTTGGTCGAGTTCGTCAAGTTCTTGTTCAATCTGCTTCTTGTCCAGGGGAGTCACTGAAGCCGCACGCTCGAGGGATAGCACACGCTTCTCTAGGCTCTGCAGTTGCTCCTGAACGATGGTATCGACACCAATTTGCAAGTCATTGCCCTCGCGAGAAAGTGATTGCAATGACGTTCGGAGATTCTCAATGTCTGCTTTGAGACCGCCGATAATCTCGTTCAGCTGTTCCTGATCGACAACACCAACAGAAAGGGACTGTTGAACCTTTGCAAGTGCAGACTCGATATTACCAATCCGCTTCTTCGCTTCTTCGTCAAGGGCTGAAATATGATCGTCCACTGTTCCGAGAATGCGCTTTTCCATGGCCGATGTTGTTGCCTCCAGGGTGTCCTTGGTGAGAAACTCGTGCTGATACAGACTAAACTCCTCAGTTGGATTCTGATCTCCTTGGCCGTGGCCGTAGCCGTCTAGCGGTTGTTCGTGTATGTTGATTTTGTGGTCCACGCGTCTGCTGAGTTGATTTAGCGCCTCCAGGGCACTTTTCACTGCTTCGGTGCAAAACCGAAGGTGACCATCAAAGACTTGCGCGAGTGTCATTTTGTTGGATTCCACATCATCTGCTTCCTTGCATTCGGCGCGCATGGAATCAGACCGGAGAATTCTTTGGAATTGGCGCAAGTTCTCTGGAATGTCCGTGATCTTTGCTCTGATGTTGATGCTGTCATGCGATATGTCGTCTTTGATTCCCAAAGCGATAGCAAAGCGAGCGATACGAATCCAATTCAGGGCCTCTTTCTCGCTTGGAAGTTCTGCCAACTTGTCGGATTTCTGACCTGACGTAGCATCCGTATCATGCTTGCGGCTGCGTTGGGTGAATCCCTTCCAGAGCACGAGAATGATAGCAATCAGTACAAGAGCTGTAAAGAAGACAGTCCAGTACAAATCGGCAGAATTCTGATCGAGAGGGATGTCAAAAGTTCTTCCGAAGAGCGTGTGATGTATCGTGGTAAGTGGAGGTGGTTGATCACTGCAAGAATTGCCAATATTTGTGGGACAAGGAGTCGTTAAATTTTGTTTCTGAGCATACTGATCCATAACATTCTTCAGCATGTCACCAAGCTCCATTGAAGTGTTCTGCGCTGGGCTTTCGCATGGGCCCTCGCATTTTGCAGCTTCGGGAAACACGAGAGGATGCCAATACCTGAGAGTGTAGATGGTGCTTGATACCTGAACGGAGCCAACAAGTCGCTCAAGGAACGTGTGATGAGGATCAACGACGGTGAAGGGGACATGCCAGTAGATCCCAGCGAGATTGGCGGCTAGAGAACTGAGCACGAATATCGTGGCCTCCATCCTCAGCCAGGAGGAAAAAGTATGAATTGAGGAGGCAATCTGAAATTCGAATATTCTTTCGAGTCCGCTTGCAATGTTAAGAAGAGAATAGGAGCGAGGAAAACCAAAGAGGGAAACCGGTTCAAGATCTCTTAGTCCTTTAGCAGTATATAGGATATATAAACTTCCCATGGGTCTTCCTTGTGGATGAGAATATACCGTGGCAACGAACGAACGTTCTTTGACAGATGAGGCTCCGGGACGATGCCATGTTTGCAAACGAGTTGAGTCAAAGAAACGATGACTTCGAGAATGAACAGAGTCTAGCTAGTCGTGCTTCAGTTGTGTCCAGTCGCGAAAGAAGATGAAACCTCGAAAGACGGAGTGCTGTCGAAGGGGGCAAAGCAGTTCGAATCAGGACCGGGGGGTTAAAGCAATTTGTGGTTGAGTCTAAAATAGTATCAGATGATAGAAGGGGAAGGATGAGAAATAACAAGAAGGACACATGATTCATTGTCTTTGAGACCGCAAAGGACTTGCGTTCGATGATGCTTTCTTTGTCCTTGTTGGGCTTTGAGCAGCAACAACCGTCAATGCATTCGGATCCAAGCCAAAGGAATACCTACGCTTCCCGTGCTAGAGAAAATTAGAATCCATGTCTTTGACATTCTCACCCATGTGTACATTCATCTATTGTTTTAGAAGTTTAGCCTTGACACTCAACCTTTGAAGGAGATCTAGCTAGCTGCGTCCCAACGCACAATGCGATCTAGTTTGATTGATTGAATTACTCCCATGATGAACCATAATAAATGCTCACACAAAACTTCTTGCTTTATGCATAGACGGGCTTGGGGACTGACGAGCCGCATCGTGGTCTTGCTTGTGCAAGTTGTGATTCTTGTTTCTGAACGGACATCTGCGCTTTCTGGGCCCAGACTCGCTTCTCACAGGTCGCTGACCATTGTTCTCTGCCATGCGTTTTGCGACTCTCTCACGCCGGATTCTTCGACCTTCTTCGATTTCCTCTGGAGTGGGTGCAGGGTATCCAGACGCTGTTGCCCACAGGGCCATTCTCGAGATTGGCTCCTCGCCTTCTCCTCGTGGCTTTTCGCTCACAATAAGGCTTGCAGAGTCGTTTCGGTCCACTTTGTCTTCCATGGCCTCATATTCAGTCTCCGTAGAACACGCCTGAGTGGTCGGCACTTCCTCTGCAGGCGCCATGATACGCTTGACCGGAATCTGTATACTACCATTCCGTTCAGCCTCGGTACTGACTTGAGCGAGACAGTTGCCCATTTGTTGTCTCCAGCGTTGAAGCTCAGACTGGAAATCTTTGCACTCGGCTTCAATGGCTTCGGGATCTGGAAATCTCCGACGTGCGCGTTCCAAATTGTCCGCAAAACTCTTTACTTCCAGGACATGATGATCAAATTCGTCCTGGAAGTGTGTCTCGAGTGCCTCTCGCAGTTCTCTGACTTCAGAATCAAGGAAGGTGGGTAGTTCAGCGCAAACCCGCTCATGCTCCATCGCTATCTGCTTCATGATGCTGTCGATTTGGTCATTCAGCATTGAAACAGCGGAGCTCATCCTTTTCAACAGAAACACTTTCCGGGAACGGACTTCGCTGATGAAATCTAGAATCTCAATGTTCGCTACTTGGAGGCAGTGTCTGCGAGAATACCAAGTGATTATGGATGTTACTGCTGGTATCATCAACAGAACAACCATAACGAAAAGCAAAACTTGCCGGTTGATAAGGAGCGCTTCACGATACAGAGTCCCAAAAGTCGGCCCGTTGGCATGATGGCCTGGCGTGGAGACAGCATCCTGACTGATTTGACCGCGCCATAGTGAGCCCAGCTCACTCAAGCCTGGGTCAAACAATGAATGCTTCTTGTGGTGAAGATTGTCAGTCCCTAGGCACGCGATATCGGACGCAGACAGTGGCATGGAAGCGAACGATGGCTTTACGTATGATGTGTGCAGTGCCCGCCACTGATCAAGCTTTTTCATGATACCGTCAAACATGAAAGCAAACATTCCTCCGACAACCTTCGAAATATAGATATTGGCGTAAGCCAGGTGTTCTGAGATCGATTGGACGGCTAATATGAAGATAGGGCTGACGACGGTGGCCACAACAACTGCAGCGGACAGAATAGACATTTCGCAAATGCTGGTCGACGGCAGTCAAGCGGGGACCGAGACTAAGCAGAAAAAACTGGCGCGAGGATAAAAATCGGTAAGGGGAGAGCAGACCTTCTTGTTTCTGATCCTGTCAGAAGTGAGGAAGAGGGGGGAGATAAATATCCAGATGCCCAACGATTAGCAATGGGATACAGTCACCTCTGGGACAAAGAGTTGAATGGCATTCAATTTGAAGCAGTCATTCCACGTACATGTCTCAGTTGACTCAAAGCATGGTATGCAGATATGCCTGACAAGTATACAAGGATAAAACACACAGGTTAGTGACACAAGTTTTATGGCCGAAGCCAGAGACCTTCCGAGCCAAACGCTGGTGGACAATATGTCTCAACGCCATGAGAAATCTCAAAGCAGAATTCAGATAAATGTGCAAACCGCTGCAACAGAAAACGAGATATTTAAGGAACTTAAGGGTTTTTCTCATATTTGCAGATGGGTTGATGTATGGTCACCTTGTTGGAACGATATATACAGAGCATTAAGAACATAAAGGAAGAGTCTGATAAACAGTAAGCAGTCCTGAGGTTAGCGATCAACTGAGAAGGTCCACTCAGGGAGCTCTTCAAGACAAGCGCTTGCTAAGCACTGTACCGTAATAAATCGTAGCAGCAAGGCTGATCATGTTGATCAGACTTGACAGACCATGAAGTCTGCCGAATTTCTTGTTCAGAGCCATCATCTCCTTTGAATGGGGTGCAGGGTCGTAGCTCTTCTTGCCATCACGAGTTTCTGCAGAAATTTAGCAGCCAGTAAGTACGACGGGATAAGAGGGCCCGCAAGCATACCCTGATGCTTCCTCTCGTTCATCGTCCTGACAGTGAGTGGGCGCAGGATGACCTGATTGATCAGCCCACTCACCGCAACAGTTGCGAGAGGCAGGAGTGTCCCAAACCGATTTTCAGGAGCAAGAAGACCAGAAATGCCATTGAGTTGACCACCTTTGCCGGAAGTCACGGCGACAACTACGGGAAGTGCGGACTGCAGCGTGAAGTACACGGGAAATATCGAAGTCTGCAACGTTGAGAACTGAGGGCGAGGGAGCACTCGGAAAGCAATGACGCCCCCAATAAATGTCTGTTGCGCCTTGATGTTAACAGCGTAGCGGATATCTAGCTGGCAGAATGAGGTTCACCTGGAACACTTGCACACCCAATAGGGTACCGTAGCTTGCGACGGACGTTAGCGATATGTTCACATCCTCATAACCGGGATTCTGTACCTGAGCAGATGGTAGGGACGAGGATCAGTCATATTGTCTGTTCAACAATTGATGATACACTTTATATCCGTCAAGGGACGAGCTGGGATCTTTTGATGCAGAGAAGACGATATGGTTGTCAGAGGTGGAGAGCTAGGGAATGTCGGAACATATTTCGACGCACTCTGTCCGTGGAAAGATAATTGTTGCAACGGTTTTTATTGGTGCTAAAGTATGTACACTCACTATGTACAATATCGACGCACCTTCCCAATAATGATGTCATGTGTCTTCGCGTTCTGCCTAACGCCAAATCGGGAAATATCGCGCGTCTGCCTGGAGTGTCGTGTTTGTCTATCCATCAATGACCATCCTTTATATGGCCCTCTATTCCATCATCTCCTGACTCAATTTCTCTTCTAGAGCTTCTTGAGGTCATGGCGGAAAAGGAAGCAACAGTCTATATCGTGGATGTAGGGAAATCCATGGGGGAGAAGCGCAATGGCCGATCAGTGACGGATCTTGAATGGGCCATGCAATATGTTTGGGATCGCATTACAGCAACTGTGAGGATACTATTAAGCATGAGATGTTATGACTTGAGGCTAATTGTTGGTCACTAGGTAGCCACAGGTCGCAAAACAGCCACAATCGGTGTTATTGGGCTCAAGACAGACGGTGAGACACCAATAGGTCATCAAGTTCCGTCTCTGTTCTGGGCTAACGTAGGAGAACAGGAACCTCCAACGAGCTTGATGATGATCCCCATTTTAAACACATATCCGTGCTTTCCGAAATTCAGCAGTACGTCTTTTCGATACGCAGGCTTCATTTACTCCTCATCTAATGTACCAGATTTCTTATGCCAGATATCCGAAGATTGGATGCATTAATCAAGCCGAGCAAGACTGATAAGGGAGATGGTAAACAACCTTCTCATATTTCTGTTACCCAAGATATGGGAAAGTACTCTGACTCTTTGAAGCTGTTTCCGCCATCATCTTGGCCATCCAGATGATCGTCACATATTGCAGAAAATTGAAGTATAAGCGGAAAATTGTGCTGGTCACAAACGGTCTGGGATGGATGAGCAATGAGGATCTCGACCAGATAACGAAGAAAATCAAGGAAGACAACATCGAGTTGGTCGTTTTGTCAGTAATACCGGCAGAGGGCACGAGGCAATGTGCTAACTATATCCAGAGGCACTGACTTTGACGACCCTGAGTATGGCTTCAAAGAGGAGGGAAAGGATCCGCAGAAGGTAAAGACTTATCGTGCTACCAGGAATGAATCTTTCTGACAGAGAATCATAGGCCGAAAACGAGGCTCTTCTCCGCGGACTGGTTGAGGATTGTGACGGCGCATATGGAACGCTGGAACATGCTGTTTCAGAGATGGACATTCCACGGGTCAAGAAGGTTAGAACGGTAGCGACTTTCAAAGGATTCCTACAACTAGGTAACCCAGAGGAGTATGACACTGCTCTTCGAATTCCGGTCGAACGGTACTATCGGACATATGTGGCAAAGCCTCCAAGCGCAAGTAGCTTTGTGCCACGCTCAGACGTGGGAGCTGAAGAAGAGCAAGGCGAATCGTCTGAAGCACCGAAGTCCGCTCCGGAGGGTGGCTCTCTCACAAGCGTCAGGAACCTGAGAACATACGAGGTCCCTGATGAGAATGCTCCTGGCGGTAAAACTGACGTGGAGCGGGAGGAACTAGCCAAGGGGTACGAATACGGACGGACAGCAGTACATATCAGCGAGACAGACGAGAACATCACAACCCTCGAAACGTACGCAGCATTGGAACTGGTTGGGTTCGTACAAACTGACAAAGTGAGTTTAACGCCTCTGATTTGCACGAGGGAAACAGGAACTTATGCTCTATTCCAGTATGATCGCTATATGCACATGTCGACAACCAACATTATCATCGGGCAACGTGGCAATGATAAAGCCTCACTGGCACTCTCTTCCTTCATTCATGCTCTCTTTGAACTGGAGTGCTACGCCGTTGCTCGCTTGGTGGTCAAAGAGAACAAGCCTCCTGTCATGGTGTTGCTTGCTCCTTCAATTGAACCTGACTATGAGTGCCTCATGGAGGTACAGCTACCATTCGCCGAAGATGTCCGGACGTATCGTTTCCCTCCTCTAGACAAGGTGATCACTGTCTCTGGCAAAGTAGTAACCGAGCATCGAAATCTGCCGAACAAGGAATTGCTTGACGCAATGAGTGAATATGTGGATAGCATGGACCTTGTTGATACCGACGAGGACGGGTGAGTCCATCGATTAGTACCAGTCTGTGCTCTCCCGCTAATATGCCACCAGAAATCCGGTAGAGGGCCTTCCCATCGACGACTCATTTTCGCCGGTATTGCATCGCATTGATTCTGCGATCCGTTACCGTGCTACACACCCAAATGACCCAGTGCCTCCCCCCTCAAAGCATCTAACAAAGCTTTCTCAGCCGCCACAAGACCTGGTAGAGAAATCAAAACCTTATCTACAAAAGCTTATGGCGGCCGCCGATGTCAAGAAAGGTTCGCTCCAATCAATCTCCCTCGGCAGGGGTCACCACTTGCTAACCATTTCTAGTACCGCCCAAGGTCAAAGGACGCAAGCGTGTTCGTGAGAGCGAGAAACCGCTTTCTGGTCTCGACGTTGATGCCTTGCTCCACCAAGAGAAACGCGCCAGAATCTCACCTACCAATGCGATCCCCGAGTTCAAACAGACTCTGACCCAGGCAGAAACGATCGAGACGATCAAAGATGCCGTGAAGCAAATGACGTCAATCATTGAGGATCAGATCAAGAATAGTCTTGGTGATGCGAACTATGACAGGGTCACCGAGGAGATGGGAGTAATGCGGGATGAGCTTATTTCGTTCGAGGAGCCCGCGTTATACAATGACTTTCTAAGGCAGCTGAAAGACAAGTTGTTAAAGGAAGAACTCGGTGGGGATCGGCGAGAACTGTGGTGGGTACTTCGCCGCAGTAAGCTGGGGCTGATTAGCCAGCCTGAATCAGATCAATCAGATGTGACTGAGGAACAGGCGAAGGAGGTGAGTGTTCGATATCATTGAGTTCCGGAAGCATATACTGACGTTCTATAACAACTAGTTCTTCTCGACCCAATCTGACAAATCTTGATGCAGGATGTATTAGCTAGCAATGACGGGAAAGAATGACAATAGATACCAATTTGACGAGCTTTCCGACGCCGCCGCCAGAGTAGATTAAAGACAGTACAAAGTGATAGCCCGCTCAACTGCCGAAAATAACATGCAAGTCGCTCCTCTAAATGGTTCAGAAATAGTGAATAGAACTGTGTAGAAGCGGAAGTGCCCGTGAGACGCCAAACTAGGATATTTTGCCAACCCTCTTCTTGCCGATTTCGACCTTCTTTTCTAACCTTTAGGAGACAGACGTTAGAATGGTTTATTAAAGCTGGGACAAGGGCTGATACATACCTGTCCGTATCTTCATCCGTGAGCTTCAGAAGTTCATTCTGAATCTCCAACTCCGCATTGATAGCGATCCCCAGTTCCTTCTGGCGTTGTACAATCTTCCTCAACTCCTCGATACTCATATCTTGATCCTCCATCGTCTGCTTCTGCAACTGTAAAACACCCTGATTATCCAGCTCGCGAGTCCGCTCCGTCTCCTTGCCCAGCACCCTCCCCGAACGAGCAGGCTTCCCGCTCGCAGACCCAACCAACGCCTCCTTGTCTTGTATTGACGCAACCGCATTGTCAATCCTACTCTTAGCAGCCATCGCGTTCAACAAATCCTCCAACCCATTCTTCTCCTTCCTCGCATTGACCAGCAAGTCTTTCCTCCGTCGAATCTCCCCTTCGCCCAGCGCATTCCCGCTCCCCCAAGCACCCCTCTTCCCAGACGCAACGGACCTCGCATCCGCATTCGCATCCCCAAGATTCTTCAGCCCGTCCTCCAACGCCCCGATCAGACTTCCAGCCCGTACAAGACTGCTCTTCGCCCGCGCAGAACTCTCATGCTGTTTCTGCGGCGTCGTCTCCTGGTCCCGTCTTGTGAGATGGAGCCGCGCATCATGCAGATGCGCCTTCATGTCGCGGTAGCAGTCAAGCCACAGCGTCGGGTCCGTAATCGCGCTCTGGGTGCCCACCGCGCCGGGCTCGGTGATGGCCGCATGCAGCTTGGCGGAGGTTGTGGCGCTGCCGTTGCCGACGGCGGAACTGGGGAGGTTCAGGAACGCGCGCCAGGCGCTGCAGTTGCGCCATCGGGGGTCGTCTGCTTCGTTGATGGCGCGGAGGTATGATTCGAGGCCCTGCCGGCGCTCTTCCCGGAGGGTTGGGTTTGAGACAGTGTTGGAGAACCAGTGTTTGCCGGGGAGGGGGGCTGGTGGCGGGGCGTTGGTTTGATTCAGCAGGGAGCTGTGGAAGGCGACAAAGTCGGAGTAGCGCTTGGAGATGGTGAAGGAGCGTAGGGGGAGGCGGAGGGTGATATTGTAGATTGTGTAGGGGGATGAGGTGTGTGAGGTGGTAGCGGTTGGGATGGAGATTTCGACGTTTGGAGCCATGGCGGCGGCTTTTCCGGAGATGTAGGTTACTAGTTATGTACCTCCTTCATCTATGTACCTCTCGTCATCAACATGAGAGAACAAAATAACCCTCTTGGGTATGCGATGGAATTGAGGCGACGAGGAGAGGCATGGGTGTTGGAAGGATGAATGACGGACGGAGATAAGAGTCGGTTGGGGGCGCGCGGCCTAAACAATGACGCAAAGAGTCATTCGTCCACTGTTCATTATACTACTGGACCACATGCAAAAGCAGGCATCAGCAGACAGATGTCAGGATATTCCTTAGTCTCCAGGCATGTACGACTTCTGAAGCAGATAAATACATTTTATTTACTACGGTCGTAAATTTCAATTTTCTGCCCTTTACAGTAAGCAACAGAAGACTGTTGCATAGTCCTCAGTCCTCACACTAACTGGGACTATCGACAAATGTCAAATTGGGTATCTCGGATTTGCCTGGGGTAAAAGGCTGTTCAGAAGCGTCTCAAAATACGACATTAGGTAGAGGTCACGCTATGTGGCAGGCGATGAGGAATCAATCCACAATTCTCGCTCCTTGAGAAGATCCTTTTGCCCAAAGTACTCGCCAACAACGGTAATAATCATGTCGAGCATCGCCCGGGTCTGCATCGCCACTTCAATAGCACTGTCCTTTGTGCTCTCTTCAGCGTCATTGGCGACGTCGAAATTGGCCGATTTGTCGGGTTCCAGCGTTTCATTTTCATTGCCCTGGAGCATCGCTTGAAGGCGCGCTTTGGCTGCGTCGAGGTCTTCTGCAGGCGGCTCCCTTGCCGCATCTTGCATTTCATGGTCAGTCTGCTCAGCGGCGACATCATTCTCTTGAGCATTCTCGGGATGTTCGTGGTCGTCTTCCGGAATCTCGTCTTCATCCGGTTCCTCGTTCGATAGATCGCCGTCCCGCCGGGCAGCCTTGGTCTTCTCATCCTCCTCCCTCATCTTATGCAATATCTTCACAGCCCGTTTGCCCAAATCTCGAATATCACCCACTTCTTCAGTCCCCAGTTGTCCGACATCGCGGCACTTGCCCAACAGTCCCCAAGCCCAGGCTCCAATTCGTCTGACCCGTTCCGCATCCCCGCTTCTGACATTCTCGGACATCAGCCTGGCCATTATTCCCAGCACACCCAGTACGCTGTCCATATCCATACAGGCCAGCTGAACTGTCTGCGGGTCCACCGCTAACAGAAGCCGTCGCCACTCCTTGCGGGCAGTCTTCGAATGTCGGGGGAAACTGATTGGATGCGAATCGTCCAGTGCAGCAATCGCGCTCGATGGTGGCGTGCATTTCAGGATGGATCTGAGAAGGAGAAAACGATGGCGGAGGAGATTGTAGTAGCTCGATTGCGCATCGGAGTATTCGTCTTCCTGTGGTCCCGTAGCTGCTTGCGCGATTTCCGGTCCGGCAGGAGCGGCCATGTAGACACCGTCTGCGAAGAGACCATCGCGCAATGGCGCAGATGCTGGTTCGGGCTCTTCCTCTTCTGTGATCGCATCGTTTGTCGTCCCCGTTGGCGTCTCCGCAGGTTTGGGCGCGGTAAACAGGAAAGGTAGAGAGTTAGCTTCGGATCTGTACTCTCATGAAAGAGTCATTGGCCGGCGATTAGCTTTCGAAACACCAAATGCTCGTCGCAAGTGAGAACTATACATGGGGCAAATGACATTTAGACATTTAGCAAGCGGGGAACAGGATAACATTAACGAGGATCCGAAGGGGAAAAAGCTTACCGGACCATGCGAAGATACTCCATCCCATCCTCTGCTTCACCGTAGAACAGCTCATCCTCCACGTCGACGTCCAAGCCTGGAAAGGCGCTCTTTTGCCCATACACGGGGTGGTTGCGAGGGCGTTCGTAGGGCGTCACGGCGGGCGTCATCTCGTCGGCATCATCCTCTTCAGCATACGACGGACGGGGACGTTTCGGGTAAGGAGATGATCCAGAGGCAGATGTGGGTGGTTTCCGCTTCTCCGGCATGATTTGAATGTGGGTTTGCGTTTCAGAGCGTTGTTGTTCTGATGCTGACAGGCTTCATGATTCTCCGAACCAAAAAGTTCCAGCCTCGGGAGCTTGGGCCGCCTCTTAAAAGGGCAGCTCATCGGATGCCTTGGGCCCTTGGCAACCAAAATCGCCTCCACTGAAAGAACGCTACGAAGACAGTCTTATCCGAAATAGTCCCTGAATATGATTATGCGGCTTATCCAGTCTCATGTTTCCCATTATACTTTTGTTCATACGGGTATGTAATGTCGTCGCTAGCTAAACTAAATGCTTAAGGGCGCAGGCGCTGGGGGTCACGAGGGAACAGACTTGCCAAACGGACATTAGGCAGGCCCAGGAAGAACATGACAATACGGTTCAGGCCCAAACCACCACCCGCGTGGGGAGGACAGCCCTGGCGGAAAGCAGCCAGGTAATCTTCGAAGCCCTCGTGCTTGGGATCGAGGCCCTTGGCGATCATCGACTCCTCGAGTTCCTTGATGTCATTGATACGCTGCGCTCCAGACATGATCTCCTCGCCACGCATGAAGAAATCATAAGAGTTGGAGAACTTGGGGTCCTGGGGGCAGGCCTTAGTGTAGAAAGGCCGGACGGCCATAGGGAACTTGTCCAGCACGTAGAAATCAGTGTCGTACTTGTCGCGGATGATCTGACCCAGCTGCTTCTCCATCGCGGTGGTCAGATCGTTCTCGAATCGCTCCTGCTCAGAAACATCGACACCGGCTTCCTTGAGCAGAGCGACACCGTCCATGTAGTTGAGTCTCAGCGCCTTGCCATCCTTGGGAAGCTTGAAGTCGCCAGCCTTGGGGTACGACTTCTGAATAATGGCAATCTGATCCTTGTAACGCTCCTTGAGTTGAGTGAGAATGAAGACGAGGAGGTTTTCGGCAAACTCCAAGACCTCGTGGTAGTGGCTGCGGAATGTCTTCTCAAAATCGAGACCGGCGAACTGAGAATTGATTAGGATCGATCGATTTTCAAACAAAACAGATTGATTGGCATACCTCGGTCAGATGTCTGTGAGTGTTGCTCTCCTCAGCACGGAAGACAGGAGCAATCTCGAAGACGTTCTCCATGTCACCCGCAATGCACATCTGCTTGTACAGCTGGGGGCTCTGCGCCAAGTAGGCGTTGCGCTTGAAGTACTTGACCTCAAACACATTGCTGCCACCCTCGGTGGCGGCACCGACTAACTTGGGAGTGAAAATCCACCTCGATCCGCTCTTGATCATGTACTCTGCAAACAGCTCCGCAACACCACTCGAAATCCAAGTAATGGCCTGGCTAGTTTCTGTTTGTAGATCAAGAACACGGTTGTCCAGACGAGTCTTGAGAGTCACAATAGGAGCGCCCTCTGCGTCGACCAGATTGCCCTCCTCAGTCGTCTCTGGCGGCGGTCTCTCGGCATCCTTAACCTGCATAGGAAGCATCTGGGGGGCCTCTGAGATCATGTAGACTTTGTGAATGTGGATTTCAAGGTTGCTGAGGGTAGCCGAGGAGATAGGGATGGCAGGCTTCTTGACGACACCGGTAACCTGGATGATGGAGTTGACGTTCAGCCCGCCCGTATACTTGATCATCTGTCTCGAGATGGGCTCCGCAGCCGCAATGACAGCCTGCACCTTCTTTCCTTGCTGCCTCAGCATCAGGAAAGCAAGTTTAGCACTCTGAACACGGGCATTGTCCACACGAGCCACCACGGTGACCTCCTTCTCATAGTACTCGTCGCCGAGCTCGGAGAACTTCGTGAAAGGAACGACATCTTCGGATTCGGGGAGCAGGCCGTACAGGCCCTTGGCGGTGTCGTTGGCTTCAGCAGCAGCAGCTTGAGCCTTCTCCTGGGCCGCACGAGCCGCAGCCTTCTCGGCCTTGGCCTTTTCCTTTGCCGCCTTCTTCAAGGCACTCTTGCTGGGACCCTTTTCAGCTCCTTCGGCGGGGGCGGCCGCGGGGGTTTCCTCGGGCTTGGGGCGAATGGGCAATTCGGAGTCCGCCATGGTCGCTGGTGTTTCACGGAGTTTGCAGACTGAATCGGGGGAGGTGGGTGTCGTTATGACTCTCTCAAGCTCGTGAGTCAATGAGATGCTCCAACTCACCCCGCCAAATCGTCCTAGCCCTAAGCCCTAGGAGGGGCTTCCCTTAGAGTCACGTGGTTGTGCCTTGATGCCTCAGGTATCATATTGTACGCTTACCTTCGGCGTTTGAAGTACAGCTCTGGAATAACGCTATATCTTCAGAAAGCAAATTCAATACAGAAGGTTTATGGTATCTCAGATATTGACTTATTATAACGCAGGTCTGCCAACACTATATATGCTTGCTTCCACTCGAATATTCCACAAGGCATGCAGTTCGCTCTATACAAAATGAACCATCCAGTTGATCTAGTCTTTCATCTGGTGACTCTCCACCCAGAAGTCTTTATTCCCCATTCGACGGCCTTCTGTACATCATCAACGATAACTTTTGGAGTCCAAGCGGGTTCTCCTCCTCTGTAGACACCAGTGCGCACGAGAATTGAATGCCAGTTGCTGCCATTTCCGCTGCGGTAGCTGTTTGCGCCTCGAATATCGGACTCTGGGTTGTCGCCAACCATATAAACGTTCCGTAATGGTTTAGTACCATCCGTTCCAAAGATCCTTGTGCGATTGCGCAGCAGTTGTCGCTCCGCGAACTCATACGTTCCTTGGTATGGCTTCCCGATGATCGTCTTCTTCAGCTCGACGCCTTTGCTTGGCCCTCCGGTGATCGCGGCCCAGGTGCCTTCCAAGGCCTCGCGAAAACCTCCCTGGCCCAGACGCGGTAAATGGTAAGCAGCTGCCCACCACAAATCTGGATTTGAAAAGTACAGATGTGGCTGGCCGTCCTGTAAGAATCCCTTGTTTGGGAGATCCGTTCGCCCATTCTTGTCCGATAGTGTACCCAATACACCCTGCGATGACAGTAGAAGGTCGATGATCACATGGGCGTCCAACCCCCAGT